AGAGTGTGGCCCCCAGAAACCCTTTTAGCTCAGTGGTGAAGTAATTTCCGAGGTTCACCGTTCAGCCGGGGAGTGGACAGCCCCATAAAACCAAATGGGACTAATGAGGCACAGAAGTCCAGGGACAAGGGCCAGAAGGCAAAAGGGGACAGGAAAGCTGGTGATAGGGAACCCAAGGTTGAGTAAGGATAATGTTGATGTGTTGTGAGATTGTTAACCATTGTCATAAGGCAACATGTGTACTAACTGTTAAATGAGAAACTATTTTGTTCTGTAAGCCTTCACCTAAAGTGAGACTAGCAGCACAATTGGAAGAGCGTAGTCGATGTCACTGAACTGTGCATGTAGAAATTTTTGGAATGGTGTATCTCTGGCTATGTATATTTTCACCAAAAATAAGGTTGAGAAGGGAGAGGGTTGACATGTTGTGGGGTTGTTAACCAGTGTCATAAAACAATACGTGTACCACTGTTTCATGAGAAACTATTTGTTCTGTAAGCCTTCACCTGAAGTACAATAAAAAAAAAAAAAAGTGTCTGAGTCAACAATAATAGCTGGCGACTTCCATACGCCACTTTCAATGATGGAAAGAACAGCGAGACCGAAGATCAAGAAGGAAATAGAAGACTGCAACATTATAAACCAACAGACAAAGAACACTCCACCCAACAACAGGACATACAATCTTCTCGAGTGAACATGGAATATTCTCTAGAATACACCATATGCTAGGCCATAAAACAAACCTCAGTACATTTAAAAAGCTAAACATAATACCAAGTATGTGCTCTGGCCACAATGGAGTGAAATTAGAAATCAACGTTGTTGTTGTTAGGTGCCATCAAGTTGGTTCCGACTCATAGCGACTCTGTCAACAACTGAACGGAACACTGACCAGTCCTGCACCATCCTCACAATCACTGTTATGCTTGACTGAGCCCACTGTTAAAGTCACTGTGTCAACACATCTCACTGAGGGTCTTTCTCTTTTTCACTGACCCTCTACTTTACCAAGCATGATGTCCTTCTCCAGGGATTGATCCCTCCTGATATCATGTCCAAAGTATATAAGACATAGTCTCACCATCCTTGTCTCTAAGGAGCATGCTGGCCGTACTTCTTCCAAGGCAGATTTGTTTGTTCTTTTGACAGTCCATGGTATGTATATTCAATATTCTTCGACAACACCATAATTCAAAGGCATCGATCCTTCTTCGGTCTTCTTTATTCATTGCCCAGCTTTCGCATGTATATGAGACGATTGAAAACACTATGGCTTGGGTCAGGCGCACCATAGTCTTCAAGGTGACATCTTCGCTTTTTAACACTTTAAAGAGATCTTTTGCAGCAGATTTGCCCAATGCAATGCATCTTTTGATTTCCTGACTGCTGCTTCCATGGGTGTCGATTGTGGATCCAAGTAAAACGAAATCCTTGACAAAGTCAATCTTTTCTCCATTTATCATCATGTTACTTATTGGTCCAGTTGTGAGGATTTTTGTTTTCTTTATGTTGAGGTGTGGTCTTTGATGTTCATCAGTAAGGGCTTCAAGTCCTCTTCACTTTCAGCAAGCAAGGTTGTGTCATCTGCGTATCACAGGCTGTTAATGAGCCTTCCTCCAACCCTGATGCTGCGTTCTTCATATAGTCCAGCTTCTCGGATTATTTGCTCAGCACACAGATTGAATAGGTATGGTGAAAGGATACAACCCTAACACACACTTTTCCTGACTTTAAACCACGCAGTATCCCCGTGTTCTGTTTCAACGACTACCTCTTGATCCATGTACAGGTTCCTCATGAGCCCAATGAAGTGTTCTGGAATTCCCATTCTTCCCTATGTTATCCATAATTTGTTATGATCCACACAGTTGAATGCCTTTGCATGATCAATAAAACATAGGTAAATATCTTTCTGGTATTCTCTGCTTTCGGCCAGGATCCATCTGACATCAGCAATGATATCCCTGGTTCCACGTCCTCTTCTGAATCTGGCTTGAATTTCTAGCAGTTCCCTGTTGATATACTGCTGCAGCTGCTTTTGAATGATATTCAGCAAAATTTTACTTGTGTGTGGTATTAATGATATTGTTTGATAATTGCCACATTCAGTTAAATCACTGTTCTTTGGAATAGGCATAAATATGGATCTCGTCCAGTCAGTTCGCCAGATAGCTGTCTTCCAAATTTCTTGGCATAGACAAGTGAGCATTTCCAGCCTTGCATTCATTTGTTGAAACATCTCAATTGTTATTCCATCAATTCCTGGAGCCTTGTTTTTTGCCAATGTCTTCAGTGAAGCTTGGACTTCTTCCTTCAGTACCATCGGTTCGTATGTTACCTCCTGAAATGGATGTACATCAGCCAATTCTTTTTGGTATAGTGACTCTGTGTATTCCCTGCACCTTCTTTTGATGTTTCCTGCGTTGTTTAATATCTTCCCTACAGAATCCTTCAATATTGCAACTCGAGGCTTGATTTTTTTCTTCAGTTCTTTCAGCTTGAGAAATGCCAAGTGTGTTCTTCCCTTTTGGTTTTCTATCTCCAGGTCTTTGCACGTCATTATAATACTTTACTTTGTCTTCTCCAGCCGCCCTATGAAATCTTCTGTTCAGCTTTTACTTCATCATTTCTTCCTTTCACTTTAGCTACTCAACATTCAAGACCAAGTTTCAGAGTCTCTTCTGACATCCATCTTGGTCTTTTCTTTCTTTCCTGTCTTTTTAACGACCTCTTGCTTTCTTTATGTATGATGTCCTTCATGTCTGTCTTAGTCATCTAGTGCTGCTATAACAGAAATACCACAAGTAGATGACTTTAACAAAGAGAAATTTATTTCTTCACAGTGAAGTAGGCTAAAAGTCCAAATTTAGGGTGTCAGCTCCAGGGGAAGGCTTTCTCTCTCTGTCGGCCTTCTCATCAATCTTCCCCTGGTCCAGGAGCTTCTCCATGCAGGGATCCCAGGTCCAAAGGACACACTCTGCTCCCAGCACCGCTTTCTTGGTGGTATGAGGTCCCCCTGTCTCTCTGCTTGCTTCTCTCTTTTATATCTCAAAAGAGATTGGCTTAAGACACTATCTAATCTTGTAGATCTCATCAATATAACTGTCGCTAATCCATCTTATTAACATCATAGCAACAGGATTTATAACACGTAAGGAAATCACATCAGATGACAAAATGGTAGACAGTCATACAATACTGGGAACCATGACCTAGCCAAGCTGACAGATATTCTGGGGGGACACAATTCAATCCATGACAATGTCATTCCATAACGTGTCTGGTCTTCAGTAATTAGTGTTCAACACATCAAATCTATTCTTGAGATGGTCTCTAAATTCGGGTGAGATATATTCGAGATCGTACTTTGGCTCTCATGGACTTGTTCTAATTTTCTTCAGTTTCAACTTTAACTTGCATATGAGCAACTGATGGTTTGTTCCACAGTCGACTCCTGGCCTTGTTCTGACTGATGATATTGAGCCTTTCCATTGTCTCTTTCCACAGATGAAGTCGATCTCATTCCTGTGTATTCCATCTGGCAAGGTCCACGTGTATAGTCACCATTTATGTTGGTGAAAAAAGGTATTTGCAATGAAAAAGTCATTGGTCTTGCAAAATTCTATCATGCGATCTCCGGCATCATTTCTATCACCAAGGCCATATTTTCCAAATACCGATCCTTCTTCGTTTCCAACTTTCACGTTCCAATCACCAGTAATTATCAATGCACCCTGATGGAATGTTCGATCAATTTCAGACTGCAGGAGTTGGTAGAAATCTTCAGTTTCTTCATCTTTGGCCTTAGTGGTTGGTATGTAAATTTGAATAACAGTCATATTAACTGGTCTTCCTTGTAGTGTATGGACATTATCCTATTACTGAGATACTCTTAAGAGTATGGACATAAAAATCCTCAACAAACTCCTAGCAATCCAAATCCAGCTACATGTAAAAAAATTATACACCATGACCAAATGGGATTTATCCCAGGAACGCAAGGTTGGTTCAACATCCAAAAACCAATTAATGTAATACATCATATGAATAGAATAAAATATAAAAATCACACGATCACCTCCATAGACACTGAAAAAGCATTTGACAAAATCCAACACCCTTTCATGATGCAAAAAAAAAAAAAAAAACACTCAAAAAACTAGGGATAGTGGGCTCTTCCTCAACCTAATAAAGGGCATCTACAAAACACCCACAGCTAACATTATACTTAGTGGTGAAAGACTGGATGCTTTCCCCCTAAGATCAGGAACAAGACAAGGATGTCCACTCTTTCCACTTCTATTTAACATTGTACTGGAGGTTCTAGTCAGGGCAATTAGGCAAGAAAAAGAAATAAAGGACATCCAAATTAGAGAGGAAGAAGTAAAACTATCTCTATGTGCAGTCAATAAGATCTTATGTATAAAAAATCATAAGGAATCCACTAAAAAACCATTAGAATTAATAAAAAGTTCAGCAATGCTGCAGGATTCAGAACCAATATACAAAAATCAATTGTATTTCTATACACTTGCAACAAACAATATGAAAATAAAATTTAAAAAACAATTTCATTCACTATACCATCAAAAAGAATAAAATACTTGGAAATAAATTTAACAAACCATAAAAACCCATTGCCGTTGAGTCGAGTCTGACTCATAGTCACCCTAGAGGACAGAATAGAACTGCCCCACAGAGTTTCCAAGGAGCAGCTGGTGGATTTGAACTGCTGACCTTTTGGTTAGCAGCCAAGCTCTTAACCACTGCACCATCAGGGCTCCATAATTTAACAGAGAAAGTGCAAAATGTATATTCTGAAAACAACATAATGCTGTTGAAAAAAATTAAAGAAGAGCTAAATAAATGGAAAAACATCCCAGGTTTATGGATCAGAAGATTTAACATTGTTAAGATGACAATATTTCTCAAACTGATCTACCGAATCAACACAACCCTTATCAGAATCCCAGCTGACTTCTTTGTAGAAATTGACAAGCTGATTCTAAAATTCAGATGGAACTGCAAGATACCCAGAATAGCCAAAGCAATCCTGAAAAAGAAGAACAAGTTAGGACTCACACGTCCAGATTTCAAAACTTACTACAAAGCAATGGTAATCAGGTGGTGTGGTACTGGCATAAGGATAGACATATACATCAGTGGAAGAATTGAGAGTCTAGAAATAAACCCATACATCTATGGTCAACTGATTTTTGACAAGGGCACCAAGACCATTCAATGGAGAAACCGTAGTCTTTTCAACAAATGGTGCTGGAACACCTGGATCTCCACATGGAAAAGAACGAAGCTGGATCCATACCTCACACCATATAAAAAATGGACCAAAGACCTAAATGTAAGCCCCAAAACTGTAAAACTCTTAGAAGAACACATAGGAGCAAATCTTCATGACCTTGGATTTGACAAAGGATTGTTAGATATGACACCAAAAGCGCAAGCAACAAAAGAAAAAACAGATAAATTAGACTTCATCAAAATTAAAAACTTTTGTGCTTCAAAGAACATCATTAAGAAAGTGAAGACAACCCACAAAATGGGAGAAAGTATTTGCAAATCATATACCTGATAAGGTGCTTGTATTTAGAATATATAAAGAACTTTTATGAGTCAATAATAAAAAGACGAATAATCTGATTTAAAAAATGGGCAAAGGATCCGAATAGACATTTCTCCATGGAAGATATGCAAATGGATAACAAGCACATGAAAAGATGCTCAACATCATTAGTCATCAGGGAAATGGAAATCAAAACCAGAATGAGATACTACTTCATACCTCCTCGGAGGGCTAGAATCAAAGTCAGGTAATTATAAGTGTTTGCGAGAATGCGGACAAATAGGATCCCTTGTACACTGTTGTTGGAAATGTAAAATGGTGCAGCCACTTTGGAAAACTATCTGGCAGTTCCTCAAATGATTATACATGACCCAACAATTCTACTCCTCGGTATCTACCCAAGAGAAATGAAAACATATGTCCACAAAAAACTTATACATGAATGTTTACAGCAGCATTATTCATAATAGCCAAAAGGCAGAAACAACTCAAATGTCCACCGAAGGATGAATGGATACACAAAACGTGGTCTATTCATACAATGGAATATTATTCAGTCATAAAACAGAATGAAGTACTGATACATGCTACAACGCAGCTGAATCTTGAAGACATTACGTCAAGTCAAACCAGACGCGAAACGTCGCGTATTGTATGATTCCATTTATATGAAATGTCCAGACCAGGGAAATCTACAGAGACAGAAAGTAGATTAGTAGTTGCTCAGAGCTGGGGAGTAGTGGCAGGATAAGGGGGTGGCAGCTAAGTGTACGCGGTTTCTTTTCAAGGCGACGATAATGTTCCAGAGTTGTGGTAATGGTTGGACATATCTGTGAATATTCTAAAAATGGGGAATTGTACACTTCAAATGGGTGAATTATAGGTATGGTATGTGAATGATATCTCAATAAAGCCGTTTTTTTAAAAAAGGGTGTCTGCAATACAGAGGACATCAACACAACTGGACCAAAGCAAAAACTAAGAAGTTTCCTGAACACATCTAAACACTCTGAGACACAGAGTAGCTGGGCTGGGGCCTGGGGACCATAGTTTCGGGAGACATCTATGTCAGCTGGCATAACAAAGTTTATTAAGAAAATGTTCTGCATCCCACTTTGGTGAGTGGTTTCTGGGGTCTTAAAAGCTTGCGGGCAACCATCTAAGGATGCATCAATTGGTCCCAACCCACTTGGAGCAAAGGAGAATGAACAACACTAAAGACACAAGAAAAATATTACCCCAAGAGATTAAAGGTCCACATAAACCAGAGACTCCACCAGGAGATCAGAAGAACTAGATGGTGCCCAGCTACCACCTTATGACTGCCCTGACAGGGAACACAACAGAGTCCCAGATGGAGCAGGAGAAGATTGCAGAGCAGAATTCAAATTTACGTAAAAAAACCAAACTTAATGGTCTAACAGAGACGGGAGGAACCCCCAAAACTACGGCCCCCGGATGCTCTCTCAATGCAAAACGAAAATCATTCCTGAAGCCCACTCTTCAAAGATTAGACAGGACTATAAAACAAAAAATAATACACGTGAGGAGTGTGCTTCTTAGTTCAGTCAGATACACGAGACCTAATGGGCGGCTCCTGTCCCGAGGCAGGATGAGAAGGCAAGAAGGACAGGAACTGGCTGAATGGACACAGGGAACCCGGGGTGGAAAGGGGGAGTGTACAGTCACATTGTGAGGATTGCAACTAAGGTCACAAAACAATATGTGTACAAATTTTTGTATGAAAAATTAAAATAAATAAATAAAATAGCTACGGGGGAAAACAAAAAAAAGGTGTCTGAAGTCTGTTACTGGATGGGGGCATATGTTCTCAGAGAAACGGCACTTTTCCCGGAGGGTCAAGCTCCCAGGTCCCAGAAGGACTCTGCCCCAAACACAGCCTTACTAACAGCAAGCCAAGCATTGGTGCAAACAGCATCCAGGGGGCCAGCTGCCCCAACCCACGGCCAAAATCCTTGTGATGGGAAAACGTGAGGTCAGAGGTCAAGAAACTGGGGATACCTTGTCCTACTCCCTCCCTGGGAACACACTGCCAGGATAGATCACAGGGGCCCAGGAGGCCCAATCACCCACAGGCAGTCGGGGTGAGACCCCTGGCCTGTGGCGACCCCTCCCATCTGAGCAACCTCTGGTGACTGTCGCAGCCTCCTGGAGGCCTGCCCTCATCACAGGAGGCCCCTGCCACCTGCCCCCGTCCCACCCACAGTGGCCGGGCCCCGGCTGACCTCTCGAAGGCCACGTTGCGAGTGTCCAGGTGGGTGGAGACGATAGGAGAGGTGAGGCGGCTGGCCACATGCTCCTCACTGGGCCGCATGGCAGCCAGCAGAGCTTCTGGCTCGTGCAGGGTGAGCCCCAGAGTCTCCGTGTGGACCACCTGCCGGTCATGGTCCACCTCCATCACCAGGGCTCCCGCCTCTGCCAGCCAGCACGGGTGGGATGGGGCACGAGTCAGTGCCAGGCCCCAACCAGAGCGGGGAGGGCCATTGCGGTGCCCTCAGCCCCCCTCCACCCCCATCCTCAGTTTCCACATCCGGGAAGTGCAGAGAAAGGACAGCATCACCCTCGAAAGCCCAGCGGTCCCCCAAGCTCACCCTGGCCCTTGAAGATGAAGCTCCTCCGGCCGCGCTGCCAGGTCATGTGCTCAAAGCCGAGGAGGCTGGTGTCCACCCGCAGGCTCTCACCGCGCTTCCACACGCGGTACACGTCGCTCGGGCACATCTTGGACATGAGGGGTACTGCAGGGGCGCCGAGGTCATCGCAATTCCGCCCCAAAGCCCACCCCAAGCCCCCAGGGCCGGGTCCCACTCACCCCAGCTGGTGAACTCCCACTTCATCTCCACGTAGAAATCGGGGGCCTGAGATGGACCGAAGTCACCGTCAGGGCCCCTCCTGGTGCCGGGTGGCCAGCAGGCCAGGTGCTCCTTGTCTACACCCCCTTTCTGGGAGCCTAGCTCTTCAGCTGGCCTGATGTGACACCCCTGCCCCGATCAAACTCTGCTGGAAAGGAGGGACCAAGTGGGGCCCCGAGAGAGTCTTTGGGGGGCAGCATGTGCTCTGCTAGTTGGGTCCCTCTGCTGCCTACTTGGAGAGGGGTGGTCCCCAGTGCCTGGCACAGGATCTGGTCTTCCAGGAGCTCAGGCCACACCCGCCGAGCTGACCTGACACTCCCCCTCCAGGGAATCTGCATTTACCAGGAGGCTCAAGACCTGAAGTACCAGGACCAGGGGACCCTTGATACTGGCATCGGCTTTCCTCCAAAGGGCCCAGTCTCCTCCCGGGTCTCCTACATGACCCAGGGCTAGGGGTCAAGAGTGCCAGACCTTGTCCACAGTGGTGGGAACACAAATGACCAGGGTGGCCCCCCCTTATTGCTCACACCTCTATGCCCACTGTACCTGGCGGAGTTTGTTGAGCAGTTCGGGAATGCCGGCCAGTCTCTGTGTGGCCCGCTGGTAGTCGCGATACTGGAGCACCAGCTGCACCATCTCAGGGTCTCCAGTGCTGACGGCCTCCTGCAGGACTGGGAGGCACCAGGCTGCTGAGGGGTCCCTCTCGATGGCCCCAGGCCTGCCAGCTCACCCCCACCCATGCATCCTGCTGCCAGCCTCATGGGGAGTCCCTTTGCCTTCTGCAGTACCTGCCCAGCCCTGGAGGCTCTCTTTGCCCACGTTGGCATTGTGTCGAAGGAGGACTCTCACAGACTCCAGGTTCCCCAGGGACACTGCCAGCTCCAGGGGGGTCCGCCCCCGGGGGTCTTCCTGTTCAATGTTGTGCTAGGGGAGACCGGATGCTCAGCAAGGTGAGAGAGGAGGGGCCGAAGCAAGGGGGACACTGGGTTGAACAGGGTTGGGGGTCACTGCAGGAAATAAGGATGGCTGACAGGCTAGCGAAATGCCAGGGGGTGGCCTGCCTACCTCTCCCGCCCTCTGCCAGGGGTGCAGGTCCTGGCCAGGCAGAGGTACACGTACGGGATGTTAGGAGTTTGGATCGGCCTGGGGACCGGCCCGGACCGGGCTTCTCGTTCCCAGCCTGGCTCGGGGCAATGCAAGTCGGAGGCTTAACGCAGTGGGAGGTGGGCAGGCGAAGTGGAGAAGGCCCAGCCTGGGAGCCGAGGCCAGAGGCCCCAGCGCGCGGGGTAGGTGACCTGGGCTTCGGATCAGGCCGGCTGGGGGGCCCGGCTGCGGCTGCTGAACTGCCGGGGCGGGTGGCCTACAGGATGGGGGCTGCGGCTTGGGGCAGGGGCCCAAAGGACGGGCTGGTTCCCGGCGGGCCTCACCTGGCGGCTGTGCAGCGCGGCCTCCAGTTCGCGGTGCCGGTTTGCCCAGACGAGCCGGTGCAGCGGGAAGGTGGGGCCCGGGCCGGCCATGCTGGCCTCAGCGCCGC